AATGGGAAGTAATTCAATGAGAATAATTTGGCTAAAATGACCCTGCAAACACAGAAAGTTAAAATGCTCATTTAATAATGCTCATTTACTTCCTCAGAGACATTTCGAAGAAAAGAACTAACTGCAGTTAGTATTAAATGGCAGTAAACTGAGCTCTAACAGTTCTGGAAGCAAAATATTCCAATGGAAGTGAAGGTCAAGTAATCCAAAATTAACCTAATTACATGAAGGTGTGTGGGGGGGGGTGTTAATGAATTGCATCACAAATTATGGAAATTATAGACAACAGTTTACATATTGGCAGTGACTCTCTCAGCTCTCATCATCTTGGCCGGCAATGAAACAAGTGTTGAAATGCTTTAGGCAAGCTGTCGCTCGAGGTGCTGAGAGGAGACTGAAGGCAAGACACAGCAGAGATAAACAAGAGGCAGGAAATGTTAACATCTCACTGCTGCTGCAACACACACAAAAACAACAACCTCCATTCAGTGAAATCACTTGGAGGTGGTCTAGTTTCCGACGAGGAGGTGCAGCTTCTGTTATTTAACATGAGTCAAAATACGGTTCGCAGCAGGAAAAAAGAAACAGATTACATAAGAGAGTTAAAACTCCTTACTGAACAAATGCTCTGTCACCATCCACACGCAGGGAGATTCATCAGCTACATGCCCATCAAATCTGCATGATGCAGGTGTGTGATCTGACTTCAGCAAAGTGAAAACAGTCTTACCTTCTCCAGCCGTCATGGTGCAAAGCTGCCCTCAGCTCTAAAGCCAGAGAGGAACGATGCTACACAGCCGATAGCTCAGCTCAGCTCTCTCTCTCTCTCTACAGTCTCTACCCTATATCTCTTGCCTACTGTTTACCTCTTGGTCCTGCTACAGAAATGGCTGCTTTGTTTTGCTCTTCCCTCCCTCTCTTCCATCTTTCCCTCTACAGTCTCTCTGCCCCCCTACGTCTCACTCTCCTTCTCCCTCCCCTCCCTCTTCCTTGCCTGTGTGACAACACCACAGCAGAGCTCAGCGCTCCCCCACTCTGCCTCCATCTCTCATAAGTAGATCTGCGTACGTATTACAAGTATGAAGATGAGACAAGACAGAATTTGGGAATTATGTGTCACAACCTTCACAACTGAAATCCCTTGCAAAAGGCTTATAGTAGATGTCCGCATACATTTGGCCATATAGTGTCAACTTTCAACACTTACTCACAATCTTTATTGTACATAATCCCTCCCTCTTTGCTAGTATTTATCTCTTCTCTGTACACTGAGTTTATTTTGGAGCTGTTAGCACAACTGTCACACTAAGCTGAAGGCCTGGGTGTGTGACAGCGCAGCTCATTCCCGCATCCACATTAACACCACACGTTCTTCTCAACTCGGAGGCAAAAGGATTTAAATTAAAATGAGACATCATCTGCAGTCACAAAGTCAATTTCAGCGCAGCTGTGAAAGAGAAACGTGGAGCCAAGCAGCTGATGGTGATGAATATGAAGCTTCACTATCTAATAACTGTTAAAATGAGTCACATTATAGCGTTTTTCCTCTCAGCTTTCCAAATGAACTTTCAGCAACTGTGTAGACAGAATTAACTCAAGCGGAGATTACTGGGAAGGAAAAAAAGTCTTTATTCATTAGGACTCATATTCTGCAATATAACTCCAAATAAACAAATCAATTCATATCTACAAACTAAAAAGGTGAACAAGATTTTAATTGTCAGCATCTTGAAATTAAAGCAGATTATCAACCATTGGATGCCAACCAGTGGCAGTTTCTTGGACTTGTGTTATAAGAAGAGTCATTTGTTCATCACATTATTTATTGGATTCTTTGTACTGAGTGAATCTGCTTTACTCTTATTTAATGATAAAATAATTACTGACCATTATGGAACTGCTTTAAAGGGGTAATCCAATTATTTATTGAATCAAAAGGAAAAAGAAAAAAATCAAAGCAGCAGATGCCATGATAGTCTGAGTTTAATTCCCTAGTATGGATCTGGCTCCCAAAACCCTGCATTCTACATTTCCTATAATGCAAGTCAGCAGGGTCTTTTGTTAGATACTTCACACAGCCCCAGTTTGGCTTTCTGTTAAACCTTAAAAATTGAAATAACCCCGATGACATCATCAGGGTTATTTTACCAACCCCCCATCCTTAAAGACAAGCTGGAAGGGATGGGGGTGGATCCCTGCTTCGTGTCCTGGATTGTGGATTACCTGACAAGACGACCACAGTACGTCAGGCTGGGTAACTGTGTCTCAGGGACAGTGATGAGCAGCACTGGGGCTCCACAGGGAACTGTTCTGGCTCCGTTCCTGTTCACCAAGTATACAGCCGACTTTAAATACAACTCTGAGTCCTGCCACATCCAGAAATACTCAGATGACACATCTATTGTGGCGCGTATCAGGAACGGGCAGGAAAAGGAGTACAGGGATCTGAAGATGGCCTTCAGTGAATGGAGCGACAAGAACTGCCTCCTTCTGAACACCTCCAAGACCAAGGAGATGGTCATGGACTTTCGGAGGTCTAGGCCCACCCTTCAGCCAGTCAACATTCAAGGGAAGGACATTGAAGTGGTGCACACTTATAAATACCCAGGTGTGCACCTGGACAGTAAACTGGACTGGTCCCTGAACACTGATGCCATCTACCTGAAGGGGCAGAGCCGGCTCTTTTTCCTCAGGAGGCTCAGGTCCTTTGACGTCTGCAGTGAAATGCTGCACATGTTTTATCAGTCAGTGGTGGCCAGTGTACTCTTTTATGCTGCACTCTGCTGGGGCAGCAGCATGTCCAACATGAACACAAGGAGACTGGACAAGCTGGTCAAAAAGGCTGGGTCTGTGCTTGGCAGGAGTCTGGACTCACTCAAGACTGTTGTGGAGAGACGCATGCAATGTAAGATGGAGGCCATCTTGGACAATAACAACCGTCCTCTCCACAACATTCTGGCAGGACAGAGAAGCAGTTACAGCTGCAGCAAACGTCTCATGTCACTGTGCTGCAGAACAGAGAGGTTCAGGAGATCCTTTGTTCCCACTGCCATCAGGCTATACAACACCTCAGCCAAAGGATGTGGACTCATTTAATTATTATTGTTTATTATCTATTATCAACTATTATAATATTATTACTAATGAGCGACTGGACACATGAATTTCCCCTTGGGGATAAATAATCTATCTATCTATCTAGAGACACAGACAACATCATACAACTTATCACAGGCTGAGCAGTGCTCGTTGTGAAACGTGTCATTACAGTGTCACATGTAAAATCTGTGTAGTGCCCCTTTAATGCTGCCATACAAAGGAAGTCTACTGTACAGTATAGTGTCAGGTCAAAATGTGTTACCAAAATAAACTGCAGATAAAAATGGGTGGAAACAGAATGACAGCTCTTCTTTATGAAGTTCAAAACGTTTGCCATTATCCCCAACAAACTGAAAATCAGAAAACTATAGTATTCATTTAACCAAGCTACAGGAGTTTTCATTCGGGTTGAAATCAGGCTGCATCACACACATTAGGAGAAATTTAACAGATTTCTTTCTCTCTAATCTCGTGCACATACTACAAGATTTGAAAATAATGGTGCAACACACACTACAGGATATTATTAAGATTATTCTGACACACCTCATGGGATCTCACAGGGAAAAATATGTCAACAAAATGGAGACTGTGGTGGAACAACAGAAAACTAAAGCAGAAGGTTAAACGAGTCTGGATGAGAAACTGTTTGGGGAGATGCGGTCAACTCGAGCTGTCTGTTCTTCAGCGAGAAGTAGAGGAGGAGATTTAACTTCTTATTTTCAATATCTGTCAACAGCAGAATGCTAGCTAATGTTAGACTGCTTGGCAACACTGTCATCTGAAACTGACATAATCACAATCATGATCATCCCGATTTTAAATGCTAAATATCAGACATGTTTGATATTCAGATAATCTGGGCCGAACATTGGTACAGACCGCGGTTCAGAACCCCGCTTGTTGGGGCTGAATCAGGCTGAAACTCCTGTAGTCTGAGTCAGGATTTACTGCACATCAGATTTGTTCTGGAGTGGTATCTGGGAGGAGGTGCTGCAGACTGTTTTGAAACGCTGAGTCCTGTCTAACTGTATTCTCCTCAGCTCAGCTGTTCTCACTGTAAATGCACAGGAACAGAGTCAGCAGTGAAGGTGTTAGAGCACTTCCACCTGACACTCACAAATTAACAAATACTGGAAGAAACATCTGCCTTTTTATTGCAACTGCATCTCTTTTCTGTGTATTTTATAGATTTATAACATTTAGAGTGACTCCTCTGGAGGCCTGTTTTGGTCTTTGGCTCCACAGATGGACATCTGAAATCTCCAATGGATGCCAAACTCCTGTGGAGAAAACTCATCCAATCTAACTCCTGTCTGGCCTGCAACATGTCCTCCTCCCCTCTTCCCCACACACACACACACACACACGCACACGCACACGCACACGCACACGCACACGCACACGCACACGCACAACATGGAAAATACAGTCTAACAGGAGCTGACGTGCCCAAATGGAGTGTCAGAAAGACAAATGGTGATACAGGAGAGAAACAGCTGACGACAGTTACAATTCGATAAAAAGGAAGAAGCCTGCTATTTCACTCATCATAAAAAAGAAAGTTCTGCTGTCACGGATAACTCTTGAATTTCACCCTGCACCACGTGACAAACAACCACAGATCCACAACACTGTCCTCAGCTCAGACCACTTCATCCTGAGCCCTGATTTTCATAGTGCATCTGCTCATCCTCCTCTATTTCCTACTGTGCTCGATGGGGAGGGAAGCTACACAAACAATGACTTGACCAATGTCTGAGGGAGATCGACAAATGTTTTCTTCATGGATGCACATCAACACCATAATCGCCACATTAGAAACAAGGGAAAGAGAGAAAGTCAACAGCAAACAGAAGCTAGAACAGGGAGCTGAAATAAGGACACACAGATGGACTCACCTGAGCCGGAGGATGAGATCATGTTCCCGGATCTTTGGACTTCATCGAATTTGCTGAAAATTACATTCAACCTATAAAAGCAGACAGAGAGCACAAATTAAAAAAAAATGCAAATAAGTGATGATTAGTATGTAGAATGGAAATGAAATAAAAGAAAAAAGAAAAGGGGAGTAAAAACTGAAGCAGAGAGAAGGATGGACAGTAAAAGAACTGTGGACCAGATGACTGCTCCATCCATCCCTTCAGAGGTGGGAAGCTCTCCCTCTGCTCAGTGCAGGACGGACGGCCAAGACCAAAATAGACAGCGTCCAAAAACTGCCACATAGATGACGAACTGGCACTGAGGCCAGAGAGAGAGGGAGGAGAGAGGGATGGAGGAATGTAGAGACATATGGTCCAGGGTCAAAAAAAAAAAGGACAAAGAGGAGAAAAAGGTAACAGAGAAGTACTGTAGGTTTGCTGAAATGTGATATAGAAGAAAAAAACAAACAAATACAGCTTGTCCAAATCTAAGATGTGAAATTCTAGCTCACTGCTCAAAGGGTTTGTCCAAGTGCTGATTAAAGCACACAGTGACCTCTGCAGTCTGAGGTATGAAATGAAGCCAGAGAGAGAAACCGCAGGAAGTTGTACCTCCATCTAGTGCAATTCAGTTGTTTGTTTGCTTGACAACCAACTTAATGATAAAAACATATCATTCAAACTAAAATACAGTTTTACAGTCGACCCTACAAGCTGGACTGGATGAGATCAACCGTTTTAGTTGAAGAAGAATATAAACATAGTTACAGGTTGTCTTAAATAGGCATTTAACCTCTGACTGGGGAGCTGCCGAGCTGAAGTGATTACATTCACCTGTTTGTCTTCAAAATGTGATGAATCTTACTGACAATACCAAATAACATTTTTACATGTATGTTAATTTAACAAAATAGGATGTTGTGCCCTTTTTATGCTCTATAAAAGCAATGAGAAAGAACAGGTTCAACACGTGCATGTATAAATGACGCCGTGAGTTCTACAGTTGTAGTGTTCAAAACAGCCACTAGGGGGAGACCTATATATGGAGTGTTGTGGCCTGCTGCCTCTTTGTGTCTGAACATCTACGCAGCACTGTCGCATATAGGCTACACTGATGTGCTGTGTTTGTGTGAATATGAAAGGGTGAGAAATTATACGAAACAGTAAAAACAGAGGGATGACAGGAGAGGGGCAGATGTAGTGAGACAGGTTGGCAGCTTCATGTTGTCATACCGTGACTGTGGCAGGCCTTTTTTGCTGAGATCCATCCTCACCCTCTCACCCACATGTCTGTAGATCTCCACCAAGGAGCTCATTGCTCCGTCACGAACCTGATGACAACACCACATAAATTAATTTACAACTTACATAAATGTGAGTCTCTCTTTAAATCTTTACTACGTTTTTACTCAGCTTTTCCTTTGAAAATGTTTCATTACATTTGGAGCTTGATCCAACTGTTAGAGGAACAGATCTGACTGGTAATACCGTCAGAGGGCTGTAATACTTCATTCTTCCATTTGGGGGAGGCTCAGTGTTGAAGCCTGATGGTGAACATGAGAGAAGTCTACCTCTCATCAGGCAGATACAGTGAAACACTCTCTGACATTCACTTCACAGTGATATGAAACCCTCACTTTTGAGAGGTTGGAACCAGCAAATGATATGTTACATTAATTAAGTGATAACTGTGTTAAATGGTTTAAATTATTATCAGTGTCGTCCATTAACCTCACATTACATCCATGGAAAAACACTTTTAACTAAAAACAACACAAACTACTTTGAGATCTTTAAACCCAAGAATGAAATACATTTGACAACAGCAGATGTGGAAGCATGACTGGGCTTACCTGACTTGTGGGGTCCCCCAGGAGGTTACATATGTGGGGAACAATTTTACTCAAGGTCAGGCCTTGAGCTCCATATCTGGAAAACAAAACAAACAAAAAAAAAAATTCAGCCTAATTAACAGATTAGCTGGAGGGGATGTACAGTGGCTTCAGACCACTTCACACTTTATTTTAAATGTTAAATTACTGTTTTTTCTCTGTCAATTTAGACTAACAACCCACATTGACAAACAGAAAGTGTGTTTTCAGATCCTTTGCTGTCGTACTCAAATTGTGTTCAGGTTATTCCTGTTTGCTTTAATTATCCTTGAGATGTGTCTAGAAGTTGACTGGAGTCCACCTGGGGCAAACTGAACTGACTGGACCTGTAAGTCCCACAATTCAAACTGAAAGTCAGGACCAAAGCCAGCCATCAAGTCCAAGAGACTCTCTGAAGACCTCCAGATGAGGACAAGAGAAATCCACGAATTCCAGGCATTTACATTATATAATCAAATGATGAATACCACAGACCGGTAAAAATACAAAGAATGTTAATGAGGGTTTTTCTTCTATTGTTACCAAGATGACAAACACCACAGAAATGGGAGGAGGCATTAGGCTCACGTGTTCAGTGTGGCGATGAGGCAAAGGCACACTCCTTCTCTGGTTCTGTTGTTCTTGTGCTTGAAGCCTCCCAGCATCCTGTCCCAGACGTACTGCAACACAAAACATTACAGCTCACCCATACTATGTTTTTGAGGCTGACACCGATGCTGATATTTGAGGGTTCCTTTATTGGCCATCAGTAATTTCTTTAAAAATAAACAAATAACAATCCTGATACAGATCCCTTGGGATGCTTGATTTTGAAGAACTGTGACCAGAATAGAGACTGAGCTTCATATTTGACAGTCTAAAATAAACTAGTCTCTGGTGGACAAATGATGTAATGCTGACACTGTTTCTAAATGACCTTGACCCTGCTTCTGACATTTACATCAATATATGGCCAAGTATTTTATTTTTGTTGTTGTTATGAATCATTGCAATAACATACATCAAACGACAGGAAATAGACAGCAACTACCCCGACAGTCAATAACCATTTTATCCATATCACCTTTATCATGCCTTGCACCAATTACTGTACAAAAAGGTACAGAAAAAGAACTGGCTATTCAAAAGGTTAAATATCACTAAGTGAATCTCTCCATTTGATATCATTGATTATAATTCTATAGCTATTATATATTATTCTATATATATTATTCTATTCTATAGCTAATAGATGTGAGTTCTGTTCGATCAAAATATCGAAGCTTTGAGAATCAAATTAATGACAGAGAATGGAAACAGTACCTCTCTCAGAGAAACATGTTAGTGTGTGAGAGTATGTGTATGTGTTAGTACCTGCGGGGTGGCAGCTTGCTCCATGATCTTTAGCAGCACTGTTTGGTCCTGGTCTCGCACTTGGTCTTTGGCATCTCCCAAACGATCAATAAGGCTGGGCAGAACTGAGGAGAGAAGCACACGAGTACCCTTAACAAAAGAATGGGAGTGAGATGCACCCGAGTGTAACAGGTAGGCTGAAATGAATTAACTAAAATGTTAGGTAATTACAAATCTTCTCAATTTTAAGCAGTTTTATTTGTTTTTAGTCAAAGCCCAAAGAATGAAGACAACTAATTAGAAAAAACAAAATGTTTGAATTATTAAGTAATTAAGTATAATGAAAGGTCCAGACTAAAGAACCAACTGCAACAAAAGTCAATACACTTCATCAAGGAGACAATCTTTTATTTTTTTAGTATTTTGTATGTCTGCTTTTATTTTTGATGACAGATTTGATTGGCCGGTCAGTGTGGAGATGATTCTTCTCAGCTGCTCTTTGCTGGAGCAGTTTTTGTTGCTCGACCTTCCACTTTAAAATTCTCCTGTGCGTCGATGTAAAATTGTGTGGCGTCATTTTGAGGACGGCCACTGGCCCATCTGTTATATGGCTCCTTCTAACCACTGCTGCAGCTGAGTTTCAGCTCATGCTCAGTTGCCTATTGATGCTCCTGTACCCTCTCCAACTTCATGAAGTCTCACAATCTGGTTTCTTACAGGTTCAGGCAGTACTTCACCATGTGCAGCCATGTTGCATTAGGCACAACACAAAATTGAAAAAGCTGTGATGTGCACTGGTTATTTTATAACCTTGTTCATACAGTCAACTAGAAATCACAAGAGTAATCACTTTTTTGTATTGAGGTTGTACTTTTGGCCCATTTTTCAATTCAGTCTCTCTAAACTGTTTGTGTTTAATTATACACAAGATCAAATTTCCTACACTTCAGCATCAAAATAAGCCAATTTTTGTAAAATGAGACCGTTTTGAATCATTTAACATTTTACTAATGTTACACAGAGACACAACTAAACAAAAAGCAGGCAAAAGCAAACATCCAATGTTTAGACTTTAGAAAGGTAGAATTCATGTCTTTTGAGCAGAGAAACAATAACATGTGGAGGAGGGAGACACGATCTGAGATGTTTAAGTAATTTATTCTAATTAAATTAAGTATAGAAGAGGAGAAGAACAGACAGTGGGCATCAATAAAGAGGGTGATACTGAGGTGAGAATGATCGTACTCAAGACAATAGAATCTAATTGTTCAGTTATTCAACTTTAGAGGATGATGAAGGCGGCGGCCATCTTGGGCCTGGGCCCTAATTCATACTCACAGATCAAAGGAAAAACAACTGCCCAAGTTGGGGGCTGTATTTAAAATCTTCTGTTGCAAAGGATTATGGGTAATCTAAGCATTTTTATATTTGTAAGCTTCTGTTGTGCTTATGAATGAAACTGGCTTCCTGTAACATTCACAACATCAAGATAAAACATCTGAGACTGAAGTGGCAATTAAACTGTATGTTCGCTGCTGCACCATGACCAGGGTCATAGTGTAATATTTAACCTAACAAAAATATCCTTCAAGAAAGGATTAGTTCAACTGAGAGGTAGTGAGATTTCTCTAGGTAAAGGGGAAAATGATTAACTAACAAGAAAATAAAATGAGGTGTGAATGATCCCATAAAATCTAACTTGATGAAATGAAACCTAAAATTCTGATTTATTTCCATTTCTTTGTTTCAATAGTTGAATCACTGGGACCATAAAAGACAAAAGGGAACATTGATTAAGGTGATTACCAGATGTAAATGGCTCCTTGCTCTGAAACCTGAGGATTTGGGCTCCATTAAAACAATTATAATAAGATACAATGATGGTAGATACAACATCACAGATGAAAACTAAGAACCTTACCTGTTCCCACCTGGGCCCTGAATCGCTCCTGTAACCTTGTCACTAAGGCAGATAAGAGGTCCAAGCCGAGCAGAGCCACCTGGTGGAGACACAACATAAAATAAAATTACATGTAAATGTAATTTTAAAACAACATTTCTTTAAGATAAACTCTATAAACCCTAAAATGTATAATTTACAATGAAGACTCAAAGGAATAACAATTGCTACAACCCTGCACAAGCTCAGGCTGTATTCAAAATCGTCTGCTGCAGAGGACTATGGGTAATCTGAACATTTTTATGTTTCTAAGCTTCTGTTGTGCTTATGAATGAAGTTGACCTCCTGTTACCTTCACAACATCAAATATAACACCTGTAGGCCTGAAGTAGAAAATAAAATGCAGGTTCAGTGCCGCACCATGACTGTGCACTCTCTGTCCACATATTGATATATAAACACAGACCCCTCCCTCAGCACCTTTCCTTGTCATGGGGGGAGAGCAACTCAATGAACGACTAGTGAGAGTAGCCCTGCCAGCACCGTAACAACACATTCGCATCACCTGGACTTCTGTCCAGAGCATGGTGCAATTTTTGGCAACACTATACATGTTAATGAAACAATAAGATAATAAATTATTCTGTCTGGTAGCATTGCTTTGCTGCCATCTAGTGGCAGCCCCACATACCAACATCATGATTGCCACACAACGTAATACATTAACATGATTAATTTTTTCTCATATCGCATAAATATATCATTTCCAGCATGCTTCCACTGACAGGTATAATTTGTTTCATTCAACTTTACTCTTCTCTGTGCAGGACTTTCTACTCAGGAATCTACTGTCACCTACTCATTTCGATTTTAAGCCATTGCATATTTTCTTGCTGTCTCCCACTGGGGGAACAGGTAGAGAGTGTGGAGGGCCTGGCAGAGGGCCTGGTGTCTACAGGCCTAATCCTCTGATCAGTCCCTTTGTTCTCCAACTGGAGGGGAATTACAGTAATTAGACTGATGACAGGGCTCCAACAAAGACTGGATGAGAGGGATCAGTGGAGTTTTAACAATGGTGTAAACCTCCACAGAAACTACTTCTCAGTTTGAAACGCTAATCTCAAATCTATGTTCAGCTCTTCCTCGATGCAGGAGGTCGGTCTAACCTTCCCGAGTGTGACAACTGGAGGTAAACACTCGCTCTCTCGTTCCCTCTCTGAACTCGGGGAGGTTGAGTCACAAAGGGACCATGGCAACAACTGCACCCTGTGTTTGAGTGTGAGTTCAGCACAAGACTAGACACAGAAAAACAGGGCAGCCCAGTCTGGTACAGATGAGAGCAGACAGGCTCCTCCTCTTTGCAGACAGATGGCCAACTCTATTTTGCTGTCATCCAAATTCAGACCCCCCCAAAACACACACACACACACACACACACACACACACACACACACACACACACACACACACACACACACGACCCCCCTCAAGGCTCTGGACAGCAAATCTCACAGTCATCATCCCTTCCCAATTCCTAAATCCTCATACCCAGCATGCTTGGTACTCATTTCCACTGCTCCTCTTATGTTGAAAATTTTTGTTTGCTACAGCTGAAATCAGAAATCTGTATGAGCAGATATTAAATATTAAATAAAACCAATCCAACTTGGAGAAAAAATCCTCACCTGGATATCCCTACATCCACCTTTACAATTTGAAATGTGTGTTGTGAACAAAGTTACCTCGAAATATGTGGCCCAGTTTGTAGTGAAACCGGCTACAAAGACGGGGTGTATGAAAAATTAGACCTGAGGCCTTATGCGTAAATATAAATACATCTTTTCAGGGATCATACTGTTTGCTGTCTTTCGTGGTGCCTCTTTTGTTTTTCTAATACAGACATCTACCAACTCACAGCCTGAGGCTTTCTTTAACCTGACCTTTTAAAAACCTGTGAGACTTGGGCATGAGTTCAACTCTGCATTCACACTGTTTTCTACCAACCAGGACATGTTGGAAAAAGGCAACACCGTGACAGACTTAGCTTGTGCATATTTTTGCATTGTGATGATTTCGTGGTGATTCAGACAGAAAATAGTCCTGCATTAAGACAATATATGCGGATGCGTTGGTGAATGATGCATTTCGAGGTTTATCAGCCGTGAAAACACAGCGGTTTATAATACTCACAGATATTGTGTACTGTATTTTTAAAACAGCAAAACAAGCAATTACTTTATCTTTCATTGTGACGGAGGTAATCAGTACAAATGCTAATAACTGTTCATGTTGCAAAGTAATCTACAACAACAGCCGACACAGCGCATCGTCAGGTGAAATGGTTGCAGCAAAAGTCTCAGGTTCAACTTCTTTGCCGTTTGTCGCCTGTGCTGCACCGACTGACTGGCCTCATTGAAATGCATTTTTTCATTCAGGGCTGATGTTGGTCTGAAGACATCCTTCGTCTTCAGGTTTTGAGACCACAAGCAAGCCTTCATCATAAGATCTGAGGTAGTGCACTGGCTCATAAAGAGCTAATAAACATGTAATTTATCAAGCATCCAGATTTAAATCTTCAAATCTATGTCCAATCTAAAGCATAGCCAATGAAAGTATGAAAAGATATGATCTCTTTGCTTTGTACAGTACCAGTTAAAAGTCTGTAAGTAAAAGCTTGATGGCTTGATTGACGCACTAGACAAATGTAAAATCATTAACATTGTGAGGTATAGATTTGTTTCACCAACAACTAGACACAGTTTGAATGGGTGTGAATGGTAAATGTCTTTACAAAGCAGAAAACCACTACACCCAGACTCATCCAATCACAGTCTGCTAAAAATGAACAACTCTTTCAGTCTTGAACTGTCACCATGTGTTCAGACATTCAGACAGCGGCAGGCTGTCTCTTGTCTTTCACTCAATCTATGGCTTTGGGGTCTAAAGGTCTGAGACCATACTGTGCCATATTTGTTTTGTGGAAGAATCTGCACTTTGTACAGTCTCAACCTTTCTCATCTCCCTGTTCTTTACTCTGCCTGCTGCCACTTCACACTTTCACACCTCTGACACTATAAAGCTGAAAAAGACCTCCTGCTGCTTTTTCTCTTTGTAGCTGCACGGCTGAACTGGCTCAAGAACAGTGTTGTGCCAGTTCACACTTAAAAAGAACTAGTTCAAAGTTCAGATCATACAGATGAAAATGAACAAATTCACGTTCATAGTTCATTTCTTAAAATTTTGAACTAAGTTCACAGTTCCAAAAATGAAGTAGTTCACATTCATAAAATGAATAGGCCGCTCTTCTCTTTCGATAGAACCTCCTTCTACCATCCATCACCAGCCCCAAATCACTGCCACTCCCAAACTAAATGAATTATTGTATAGCACTGAAGAATCACAGACATGAGTTACATTTAAAATTCGTATATAAATATAATCAGTCTTCACTTGTTCATAAAACTGTTTCAAATGCTCAAACAAACTGGCTCCAGCAGTACTAGATGAATCTGTACTGTCTGTGCCGCTAACACAAGCTGGGCCGTGTCTATGTAGACGCCATGCGGCGTGCTGTAAAACTGTCGTAAAACGTGAGCGGCATTGACTTTAGCGAGAGCAAAGATCCTCTAACAGAAGATACCGCACTACAGGCAGCGTCAGTGGCATGAAATGGGACACAGTTCTGGTCTCCTAAGTGGGCGTTCTCCCCCAGCCCCTCCCTCAAGCCAAGGCAACTGGCATGAAATGTGACAGTAGCTGATATTAAAATCTATCCCTGTCTAGACTTACCTCTCTGCATCCTTTGGGAAAGAAAAGATAGATCTGTTTTTCTTGTTATTACAGCCTGTTGCTGCACAAAGCTCGGGCATTTTTAACACTAACTGATGGATTACTTGTCCCCGCCAAAAGATTGACAAATCTCGTGAGAGTATGGCGCTGAGACAGAGGCAGGTCTCCAATAAAGTTAATCTTCTCCTGATCTGTTGATCTGAAAAAAGTAATTTTGACGTCAGAGAACTGGGTCCAATATTTATTTCGGTGTCTATGGAGCGAAAGAATCGGTGACAATCTGTGATCTTGTTCACTTCGCCCATATGAATGAATCCACTCAGACCTGCTGCTGTTCTCCTAAAGGGGCGGGGAGGTGGAGAACCCCACGTCACACAGATACAGGAAATAATCGGAACTGAAGCGTCTCAGTTTCTCTACTGTCTCTGGCGAGAGTGAACGCCGCTCACGTTCACATACATCATAAACTGATTTGTTCAGTTCAGCGTTCACAAAAAATATGAACACACTCAATGGACAGCGTTCATGCACATGACTGATCATAAAGATATGATGGTGAAATGTTCAGGAATTTGACTCGTGTCTACCTGTCAATGTGGTTGGCAATTATTGTATACATTCTACTAACTCTAGTGTTAGGGTTTTGTTTATGTTCTGGGTGGTATAATAGGTGCAGTAAAAGGCCTGTTACAGTGGCCAAAAGACAAAAGAAGCCCATTTTCCAAACACTGCAGAAATCACACACAGAAAGTGTCAAATAATTGTTTGACAGATTTAAGATTGAAGGAACTTGCAGGAACTTATTCCCGAAAAGTATTCTTGGATCTCAGGCACTAGCCTCTGATCAAACTAACCCACTGACATCAAACCAGCTTCACTTGAACACGTGCCTGTTCCTGAGAGCTGCTGTTAGAACCAGCAGACCACAGCCTCCATCTGTCTCTGATGTGAACGAGCCTTTAAATTAAATCAAGGATTTCTCTCTCGTCTCTTCCCTCACTACCAAGTCTGTCATGTCATTACCAGTGGAAACACCACACACACACACACACACACACACACACACACACACACACACACACACACACACACACACACACACACACACACAAGGTTACACCCAGACTAGCACACACATGAAGACGTTCAAAGAGACAGACAAGCAGGCTTACATAAAAATATTGCCAAGTTTGCAGTGATTTCCTCCAATTCAAGTGAACAGCTGGGCATGCAACAGTGAGTGGAGCTACATGCACACACACACGCAAACACACACATTACTGTGTCAATCCCAAATTAATCTGGTAAAAA